CAGAATAACCAAAACAGCCTCAAAGAAGCAACATTGGAAGATTCACACTTCTGCATTTCAAAATTTTATTACAAACCTATAGTAATAAAGACTGTGTGCTACTTATGAAAGAATAGACATGTAGATAAAGATATTGACCTATCACCATACATCTATGGTCAGCTGATGCTCAGCAAAGGGGAAAGAATGCTCTCTTCAGCAAATGGTGCTGGGACAACTAGATATTCACATGCAAAGGAATTAAGTTGGTTCCCTAGCCCATATCACTTACAAAAATTAACTGAAAATTGACCAAAGGCCTATGTTTAAAACCTAAAGTCATAAACTCTTACAAGAACACGGTCATAAATCCTTCTGACCTTGCTTTTTAGTATATGATACCAAAAGCACAAGCAACAAATGAAACACTTGTAAATTGGACTTCCTCAAAATTAAAAAATTTTGCGTCTTAAAGAATGTTATCCAAAAAGTGAATGGGGAGAGAAGGGTTGGGGGGAGATGGCGGGGGTGACCTAGCTAATGTACAATGTAAGCCTATTCAGAATTGTCACAGTGACTCCCCCTGTACAATGAATATATCCTAATAAAAATGAAAAAAATGAATGGACTGGGATGTGGCTCAAGAGGTATAGAGTGCTTGCCTAGCAAGTATGAGGCCCTGAGTTCAATCCCTGGTACTGCCAAAAAAGAAAGAAAAAGAAAACTATGAGCAAAAAAGTGAAAATACATCTCCAAGAATCAGAGAAAACATTTGCAAATTATATATCCTAAGAGGATCACAATAGAAAGAAGAAAATAACCCAAGAAAAATTGGTTAGACAGTTCATGGATTGGCTTGGGGTCTTCACCTTGGGCCAATCCACCAACCCTTTTGTGAAGGGTTTTTTCAAGATAGGGTCTCTATTTTCCCGAGCTGGCTTCAAACCTCGATCCTCCTGATCTCTGCCTCCTGAGTAGCGAGGATTACAGGCGTAAGCCACAGGCGCCTGGCTTGGATTGGCCTACTTAATATCATTGAGTTGGCAGTAGTTCTCGTGTGATTGGAGTAAACACAAGACTGTACACAAAGTGCCAACAAGCGCATAAAAAGATGTGTGACATCATTGATCACTAGGGAAACACAAATCAAAACCAACACTAGGCTATCACTTCACACCCACTGGGCTACTGAGGGACAAAAACAAGGGTTGATGGGATATGGAGACATTGGGACCCTCCTACATTGTGGTGGGAATGTAGAGGGGTGTCACTGCTTTGGAAAACACGTGGCAGTTCTTTACAATGTAAAACAGTTAACACTGAGGCCAGGCACCGATGGCTCATGCCTGTAATCCCAGATGCTCAGGAGGCAGAGATCAGGAAGATCAGGGTTCAAAGTCAGCCAAGGAATATAGTCCAAGAGACCCTATCTTGAAAAAAACCTATCACAAAAAAGGGCTGGTGGAATGGCTCAAGGCGTAGGCCCTGAGTTCAAACCCTAGTACCACACACACACACAAAAAGTTTAACATTGACTTAGTAATTTACTCCCAGGTATATACCCAAGAGAAATGAAAATTCACATTCACAGAAAAACTTGCACACAAATGTTCACAGCGGCATTATTCATAATAGCCCACAAACAAAAATAACTCAAGTGGCCGTCAACTAAGGAATGGATAGGTACAACACAGAATTTCCATATGATGGACTGTAGCTCAGGCATGAGAAGCGATGAAGTGATGGTACGTGCTGCAATATGGATGAACCTTGAAATCATTATGCTAAGTGGAAGAAGCAAGACCCAAAAGACCACAGGTGTATGTTCTATTCTTGTGGTGGGGCTTGAACTTAAGGCCTACACCTTGAACCACTCCATGAATCCTTTTTTTGTGACGGGTTTTTTCAAGATAGGGTCTTGTGAACTATTTGCCTGGGCTGGCTTCGAACTGTGATCCTCCTCATCTCTGCTTCCTGAGTACGGCCCATCATGCCTGCGAGGGCATCCCCAGGGGTTCCCAGGGCCTGGAGAAGGAAATCCCACACTCACTGCATGCTGCACAGCAGGTATACGGGCCTCACAGTTACTCACAGCTCCCTCTTTACAGGACCTTGGTCCCTGCTCTCCTCCCACAGCCAGCTTCCTCTTCAGATCTCTGCCCAGTCCCCTCCTGCAGTGCCCAGCCCAGCAGTGGAGTGGAAGAAAGGCTCCCAGTCCTCCTGAGGGCCCCTCCTGCATATGAAAAGCCCACCCTGCTATCTGTGAGGGCCTTATTCTATCCACCATGAGTGCAGATGCTCAGAAAACACGTGCCTCAAAGAAGGAATAAATGAACTCAAGGCTGAACTTGAGAGCGCACTGTTCCCACAGTCAATGCAAGGCTGTCCCACCTTCCCTGCTACCATGGTCTTCTGGGTCCAGTGAGGACACAGCCAGTAGCTGCTGTAGAAAGCCTCAGGACCTTCCTTCTGCACCGGGCCCACAAGGCTGTGTGTGGCTCACTTCGCCTCCTTCCTCCTATCAGTCCACAAATACACAGGCACATTCTACTGTGTGCTTAGCTCTGTGCTGGAATCATGTCAGGAAAAACAAAGACAAAAAACCTCCCTATCCTCATGGTGCTTATAGCCTGGGGTATGAGAAGCGAACAGAAACATGTTTACTGTTCAATACTAAATCATGTACTCAGTTTCCACAACCAACCAAATGATTTATTCAGTCATGTTCTTGTTAAAACCGTGATCACTTGACAACCATCTCCAACTTCTGGACCACTCAGATATGGCTAAATAAGTGCACTTGAGCAGGCTCCAAACAGCTTTAACCATCTCTCTTCATGAATTCCAAGACAGTAGTCAACTGACATATTCACAAACCTCATTAGAAACCCAGTTATCTCCCTTCTAAGATGTGTGCAATCAGACTAAATAACATTCTACTGTAACCCTGTGACCAAGACACTTAACTTCTTCTGTACCCATCTGCAAAATAGGGGCAATAATTACATGGCTCCAGGAACTCGTGCTCCAGGCCTCTGTGCACAACCCTTGTGTTGTGGACGGACATGCCACTTTCCTGATGCTGCTTACCCACTGCCCATACTTCTACACCCTCCTAGCTGGCAACTTGTGGGTCCAGGGGTAACTCTGGGACAGAGGGTAAGAGAACTCCAAATAACAATCTTAAGGGAAGTGATTTTTTTTTTCTTGTGGCAAATGAAGCTCGGGTTCAGTGATTCAAGCCAGCCAGAGTGCCTCTGCAGTGGCTTTCTTCCTTCAACATGGCTGTGCCTCCTGGCCCAGACCTCTCAGGTTCCAGCCATTGCCTCAGCAGAGGAATGTGGCTTAGAGGACAGTCTTTCTGTGGAAGATCTGCTCTTGGAATTTGCTCTTACTTATATCCTGCTAGCCATGGCATTGCCCTGTGCCATGCCAACTGTGCAGACCTTCATTCAGGGTGCTGTGTCCAAGTTGCATTTCTACTATTTCGGCTAAAGAAGGCGAAAAGGGACCCTAGGGGATAGTAGAAGACTATGCCAGCCCAAAATGACACTCAGGATCTTATACCCACTTCTTTTACATTCTCACTATACCTTTGTAGCTTTTAATTTTTTTGAGATGGGGTCTCACTGCACTGCTCATACTGGTCTCAAACTCCTGGGTTCAAGCAATCCTCTGGCTTCAGCCTTGTGAAGCTTGCCACAAGCTTGGGACCACAGGTGCTTGCCACTGTGCCAGGCTCCCCTGCCTCTTTCTTTCAGTTTTATCAGATAGGGTCTTGTGCAGCCCAGGCTGGCCACTGCTTCCCAAGTGCTGGGATTACAAGTGTGTGCCACCATGCTCCTTTTAAAAAAATGTACTTGCACAAGTGATAGCAGTGATAGTCAAGACAGAAATGCACATCCCCAAGAAAGCAGCTTATCCCATGGCTCCCTCACAACACTTGTGTAGAGATAAAAATCCCACTCAGATGTGTTCAGGACAAAGTGAGATGATCTTTTAACTTTCTTCCCAATTATATGTTCCACTGTTCAATGTGTTTTGATTTGTGTTCTAAGTCGCTGACAAAATCAGCTGAGACTGAAGCCTAGCTATATATCAGGGAGATTTCCCATCAGTCACCTCAGAAAGCCTTGAAGCCCCCAGACCAACTTAATGGGAGAGCCTGAGCTATTACCTGGGAAGTGGCCCTGTGACAGCCAGCAGAGCTGAGGCAGTCTTTACCAGGCCTGAGAGCTCATCAGAGGTTCTAGCCCTGGGGACAAGGGCCAAAGACTGGCAAGTCAATGATAAGGTTACTCATCACAAGCGGTTCCCCCTCATTCCCTCCCCGCCATGCAGGACACGGCACAGCTCCACCTAATGGGTATTAGCGGTTTCCTCTGGAGAGCCCAGAGAGAAACTGAGAGCTGATATCCCTATGTGGCGGAGTCAACAAGCTCCCCCAACCAGGGTAAGAGGAGCCTCCCAGAGAGAGCCTCACCAGACACAGAGGAACCTGGAGGGTGCAAGGAAGGGTGCCCTCAGGACCTCCCAGACCACACGCTGCTTAGGGATGCTGTTCTGAGGGGCGCTGGCTGATTTGATTCTAATGAACTCTTTGGCCTCTCAGGCAGGGCAGTTGTGGCTCCCTTCCCAACACTGAAGCTTCTGCAGTAGTATTTGGCCAAGGCACATTTGCTTTCCTGTGACATCTCTCCAGCCTTGATGCCAAGGCCTCTGACATGGCGTCACCCAAGGGCCACATTCTGCTTTTCTCCTTCCTCCAGGATGTACGCTGCAGTTCCTTTTGGAGACCTTAGTACAATAACCTGCTTCTTATGCTGGCTCACCAGTGCACTCCCACTTTGCGGTTCCCATCCCCCATGGCCCTTTATTCTTGGGTGTAACCACTGGCCCACTATGCTGTTGGTCTGTTTTCATTAGGTGCCTCACCCAAGGTAGTTCAGCTCTGAGGAAGCTGGCTTAGTACCCTTCCTGCTCCATATAAAGCCCAGCTCCTCTGCCCCCCAGCCCAGCACTGAAGATGGTGTTGTGTGGTCTCCAGGTGTCTGAACTCCTGCAGGAATGTTGCTCGTTAAGTGAACTAGAGTGACCCTTCTAGGGAAGAGGTGTGTAGGAATGCCCACCCCATGCCCAGCGTTGACAGTGGGCCAGGAGCCCAAAGAACAGTTAAAACAGAGCACTTGTTTATTTCTCAGAGAAGAGGTAGAAAGTAGCTCAGGGAACCCTGTCCCAGCCTTTTGTGCCCAGGCATTAGACCTCATTTCCAGAAGAGCACATTCCAGAAGAGAAGCCAGCAGGGGTACAGGCCCAAGGCCAGCAGTGGGAAGAGCAGGGCGCCAAAGGTGTGGTGCTCCAGTACACCCTGGGCCAGTGCTGTCAGGAAAAGCTGCCAGCCTTCAGCCAGCGACAATGGTGCCTCCTGTAACTCTTGCCACAGGAACAGACTGCCTAGGAGCATGGCTGCTGGGCTCGTCAGCACCAGCAGGGCAGCATAGAGTGGCCTGGGAGAAGGGGCAATGTCAGGCAGGCACTGTGGTGGGGGGTGGGGACTGCAATAGGGTGGGTTTGTGGTGAGGGGTACTGGCTCTGGAGGTGGGGCTGACTAGCACATACCGGGGCCCATGGGGCTTGGTGAGTGCAGCAGCAGGTATCATGGTGGCAGACAGCAGGAAACCCAGTGAGAAGTTGGTAAGGGCAATACAGCCCAGTTGGAGGGCGAGGTAGATCAGGGCCACCAGTTTCAGGGCCATCCAGCCCCTGTCTGGGGACTGTGCACTCACCACCCTACAAGGCAAGAGGCTCAGAGGCAGCATGTGGGCTACCTGAGGGTCCAGGGGGCTCCTACCCTCACCTGCCCAGTCCAGCCTCTCACCGGTGGGTGTTGTGCGGAAGGGCCAGGCCAGCCACATAAATTGCCAGCAGAGTCAGTACCACGGCCTCGGCCTCAGCCACTGGGAAGTGTTGGGCAGCCACATGTTGACCCAGCACAGGCAAGACGTAGAGGGCCAGGCCCATGGCCTGGGAGATCAGCAGGGGTGCCACAAGTGAAGCCAGCCCCACACCCTGCGGGGCACATGGGCACCTGGAGATGGGCCGTAGGGCTAGGGGAGCCCCAAGAACCCTCATCACCACCCTCCAGATGAGGCCAGGAGGCAGCAGTAAACACTCCCCGTGACCCCAAAAGCCCACCCCACCAGCAGAAGGGGGCACCATCACCTGTGCTGGGGGGAGTAGGGCACGAGGGCCAGGGGTCCCTCCAGCCTCCTCAGGGCCCACTCCAGCCTCATGTAGCTGCATCCACAGCTCCAGAGCATGGCCCAAGTCAAGGATCCTGATGACAGGTGTGACAGAACTTGCCAGGTGGGAGACCCAGTGCTCACTCCATGCCCCCAACCCCAGCAGAATGGAGGACTGTTCCTAGTTTAATGTTGAAAGAACCCAAGGTGTCACAAGTAGATAGTGTAGGGCTAAGGATATCTTGAGACCGAGAACCAGGAGAAAGAAGCCGGTGGCAGGCATGTAAAGGCCGATGGAGACGAAGCGGGAGAGAGCAGGGAGCAGGTAGAAGAAGAACGACTGGTGCAGGCGCTCTAGGAGGTGGTTGAGCTTGCGGAACATGCCTTCCAGAGCCCTGTCAGGTGCACAGCAGGGTCAAGGTCAGCCATCTCCCTCACTCCAGGGCAACACTGCCTCTCATGTGGAAAAGGGAACCAGCTGATGGCTCATGTCTGTAATCCTAGCTACTCAGAAGACAGAGATCAGGAGGATCACAGTTCAAAGCCAGCCTGAGCAAATAGTTCATGAGACCCTCTCTTGAAAACACCCAACACAAAAAAAAAAAAAAAACAGGCCTGGTGGAGTGGCTCAAGTGGAAGAGCACCTGCAGGGCTAGCAAGCGTGAGGCCCTGAGTTCAAGCCCCACTACTACCAAAAAAGAAAAAAAGAAAAGGAAAGGGAACTAGAAGCTACTTACTTGCCCACTGCCACCAAGTCATACTTGTACTGGCGGAAGCTATTGATGCCACGCACAGTCAGGGCCTCCACTCGGTAGCGCAGGAAAAGGCCATGGGGGCCATGGGGACGGCCAGATGCCTGCCGAAGGACCATGAGCAGCAGTGTCTGCAAACTCTGCAGTGGCCCCTCCAGCGACGTCCAGTCCTGAGGCTGTAGCTTTGGAGGCATGGGGACAGGATCAGATCAACTCCTCACCAAAAGCCCTATGCTCCCAGGCAGGTGGTCCCACCTTGCCTTGAAGTGTACATAGCAGCCCCCCTTTCTGGCAGAAGGTCTGGAAGAGGTTGAGCAAGTCAAGATTGGGCAGCTGCCCATTGAGTCCTTCCACAGTCACGTCGAGACTGGTGACCACATCACTGCTCAGCTCCAGAGCCACAGCTGCCTGGATGGACCCAGCCCGGCCCTGCAGAGGGGATGACTGCATGCCTGTAGGGCAAGCAAATGAGTACCAGAGGAAGCACTGTTGAGGACGGCGAACCCTCAGGGGACCAGGACTAGGCAAGAACACTTACCAGTGACATTGACATCATGGTAGGCTTCAAGCCAAGCCTCAGTGCCAAGGAGATCATGTTCTGTCACCAGGAAGATGATATCTTTGGCCCAATAAATCTGCCCTGGAGACCAGAGGAAGAGTCAGCAGGGTCTGGAGCACTGGCCAAACCCTCCCTGGCCAGTAGCCCCTGAGCCTCACCTCGGAAGTGGGAAGCGAGTGCCAGCAGAAGTCCCACAGCTTGGTTATTGGTGGAGTCTGGACCACAGGGTACAGTGAATACCAAGGACTCGGTACTGGCAGCACGTGGGGCCCTCAGGATGCCATACACATTGGTGCCGGACACCATCTGTACAAAGTATTGATTGGTGAGGAAGCTCGGGAGAGGAGCACCACCATACCCACTGTCGGGGATGTCCCCAGATCACCCTCCAGGCCACCCCTCCGAGTGCTTTCCCGTCCCAAGCACACCCCCTTCCCTCAATACATAGCGCTCATGAATCTCATCTGGAAAGGGCAGTTTCCGGGAGAAACTCTGCGTGTACACCTCCAGCCCCACTGACCGCATCGTACGCTCCAGCCAGGCCACTGGCAGAGCCCTGGCGACACAAAGAGAGCCTCTGAGCAGAGCCCCGGGCCCGGGCCACCCCTCTTTTCTTATAACCACCGTTCTGCCGCTCACCCCGACTTCCTGCGGTGGGCAGCGAAGTCCCGGGCAAAGCCCCGGGCGCGATCTCCGCCCACAAACTGCTCCTCTACCATGGTGGAGCCCATGGCGTTCTCCGACATGTAAGTGCGCTGGGTCAGCGGCGGGAAAGCTAGCGCCAAGAACCAGGCGATGCCCGCTGCGTAGCTCAGCGCGCTGCGGGAGAGGACGGGGGCCCCGGAGCGTTAGCGGGCCCCGGGACGCCGGCCCGGGCCTCCAGCTCCGCAGGGTCCGAGGCACCGAGTCCCGGCATCCCGGCGGGGATGAGGGGGCCGCCGTGAGCAGCCTCAGGGGCCCTGGCCGGGTGAGCCGCGCCGCGCCCCCCGCAGCTCGAGCCCAGCCCGCGGCTCCCGCCCCCCACGCCCTCACCAGAGCGGAGCGTTGAGGCGCAGCACCAGGCGGGCGAGCGCGCGCCGGCGCACCGGGTCCGACAGGAGGCCCATGGCGCGGCGGGCGGCTCCGCACCGGCAGCCAGCTGGGGTAGCCGCGCGGGCACCGCTTCTGTCGGACCCAGATTCCCACGCACGCCTAAACTTCCGGTCTCAGGGACCTTCGCCACCGCGCATGCCCGGAACACAGCTCGTCTCCGCGCATGCTCACGGCGGCGGCCGCCTGCCTGCCCGCCAGCTGCTGGGCGTGGGCACTGCCAGTGGGCGGGACTAGAGGATGGTTTTGGACGAGACCGGTGCGGCCTCCGAGAGGGCCTCACCTGAAAAGAGCAGCGAAAATTCGGTGCCCGGGACTGTCGGGGCAGCGGAAGAGCTCCTGCTGTTAGGTCCGCAGAAGTCAGAGAAGACAATGCGCAGATCAGGTGGGTGGGGAGCTAGGGGCGGCGATGGGAGCAGATACCTGCCGACAGGGTTTGAATGACTGTGGTGCGGGCGCCCAGTAAGGGGCTTCTTTGACCTGAGGGTCAGGGGCTCGAGTGACACCTGGCTCCCAGGTTGTCAGGGTCAGATAAAAAAAGACTTTGTAGGGGCCAGGAGCGAGGGCTCAAGTCTGTAATCCCAGGTCCTTGGGAGGCTGAGATAGAGGCATCATGCTTGCAATCCCAGCCACACCTAAGGTTGTAGGTGTGAGGTCCGCTCTGGCAAAAAATGTGAGACCTTACATGAAAAATAACTAAAGTACGCCTCCAGCAGCACAGTACCTGCCTAGCAAGGGGCAGGCCTATTTCAAACCTCAGTACTGCCAGGACGGGGTGGGGCTTCAGTGGAGCTAGCTGGGTGTGTGGAGTACAAAGTGCTCCTGACCAGTGCCAGAGGTCCCTGGCCTAGTATGGCCCGGGCTCAGGCAGTTCTGAGGGCAGGGGGTACATGTAGGGGAGAGTGTGAAAAGAGTGCAGTGGTAGGGCAGGAGGGTCAGAGAAGACTCCTGATGGGAGGGCAGAAGACCAGGTGAGAACAGGAGTTTGTTGTCCTTTTAGAGCCAAGCTAAGTGGCAGAAAAGACCACAGGGGCTCCTTGGGGCAGTGAGGGATTAGTCCAACCTGTGGTCTGGCATCTCTATGATGGGTACTCATAGGGTGGGTTAACCACAGCACACTCCTCAGTTTGAGGGCTTGGGTCTGGCTCTTCCTGGTTTCTTCTCTCCATCTAGAGACATCCCCACCTTACCCCTCCTCCATTTTCTTCTTCATAGTTTGAATCCTGAGGCTACAAGTTCATGTGTGATGGTGACTTCTCAGACACCTCCAGGAGCCAGCACCAGGCTGGGCTCTGCAGGGTTCTGAGCTGCTTTGGAAGTGCTGTACAGTGAGGTACGTTTAATAGAGGAGCTGGTCTTTATTGTGCACATGGGTGTTTGGGTGCTCAGTCCCCCAGCAAGATAGAGGCCTCTCGTACGTGCTGCCGGACCACATGATCCAGCAGGGTGTGCACATCTCGGGCTGCCTGGGCAGCAGCGTCTAGCACCTGCTCCAGGTGGTCTTCGTGCAGCCGGGCATCCATCTCAAGCAGTGCAATCTGGCCTGAGGCCGGCAGCAAGGCCAGAGCTAGCTGGGGGCCCCCAGCTGCTTCCTCCACATGGCTGAGGTCTGCTAGAGCTGTGCCGTCCACAAAGCCAGCTGAGCATGCACACACAAAGTCCCGCATGGGTATCCCAGCATCCATCACTGCTAGCGTGGCTGCATTCACACAAGCTGCATAGGTCCCACCATCTGCTTGCAGTACCTGCAGAGACCCACAAAGGAACATCAGGACATCAGATTATCATCCCACCCTCCTGGGTTGAGGCTGCGGGTTGCTCACCTGCACATAGATGTCAATCTGGGAGCGGGGGTGCAGCTGTGTGAGGATGGCTGCCTCGAAGGTCTGGCGTAACTGCAGTCCCATCTCACAGGACTTACGGTCCCCATGTGGCCTTCGCTTGCGTTCACCTGTGCTGAAGGTCGCTGAACTATACTGGCAGTTCACTAGAGCCCGGTCAGGCAGGGCTCGAGACCGAGAACCCCGGATCTAGAGGAGAAAGGACATCAGTCAGGCCTACTCCACCTAGTTCACACTCACCAGTCTTATGTGGCTCAACCTACCTACTCCTCTCCCTCCAGCATCTGAGAGAAGGACAGCTACATTGCCTAAGCCATCATTACCTCTAGCTTGCATGACTCTTCTATGCTTGCTCCATTTCCTATCAAATTACTCTCCGCCTGGTGGCCACAGTGTGATTTACATCAGGTCTGATTCTGCCTCTCCAGCACAATCACATTCTCCTTACCTTCCAAAGGCTTTCCATTCCATGTGAAAGAAAATCCCAAATTCTTTCCCTGGCCTACAAAGCCTGGGCTCTCACCTCCGTGGAAACCCCTCAGCTTCATTTGGAGTTATTATCCCTCTTCCTACCAATAGACTTTCTGATCTGCAGATGTGCCATGCATGTTGGATGGTCCCTGGCCATCCTCCTGACTTCTTCCACCTAGAAAGCTGGGCTTCCACATTCATGTGCTAAGGAAACTTTTTAAACGTCTGCGTTGGCCGGGCACTGTTATATCGCTGAAGATGCAGCAAGAAAGCCATATAATTTAAAAGTTCCTGTCCTCAAGGAGTTTATGTTCCAGTGGGGAGACAAACGATGATAAGATTAAAATTGACACTTGAGGTGGTAGATGTATAAGAGCAAGCAAGCATGTTGTAGTGGACGGGGGAGGCGTCCCATCGTGGTGACATCGGAGCAGAGCTGAGACGTAAGGAAGTTAAGGGAGCGAGTGGAGAGCCTAGACCCACAATGTGCAGGGAGCAGGAGAAGCGAGTAAGGCTGGCCCACCGGGGGGTGCACTGTAAGGACCTTGGCATCTACTGGGGCAAGATGCGGTCCTGAGTCCCCGCGGCCCCGCCGCTCCCGAGCCGCCCACTCGCCTCATGCGGCCCGTAGACTACGGCCAGCGCCTTGGTGTTGCCCTGCTCGATGTAGGCCGAGCCGTCGGCCTGCGCGAACACGCCCATCCGCGCCTGGATCTTGCGCAGCTCCCCCGCGCGCCGCCCGTCCACCCGATAGCCCTGGTCGGACAGGAGCTCCAGCCCTGCCATGTTGCAGGCCTAGTTCCAGGATTTACAGTTTCCGGAGGTCAGGTCCACCCCACTTCCGGTCCCGGCAACTACGGTTCCGGCGGCTTCGGGTTCCCGGATCTACGGATTCCGGGTGTCCGTTCCTTTTCTTGTCCCCGGGAACTATGGTTCCAGGCTGCTCGACTTTCCGCACTTCCGGGTCCAGGGACAGAAGACTGGGCGTGCGGTGGTTCGTACTGCTGTCGCGAGGCTCGCCGAGGGGAAGGTCCCTTGAAGACGGGATTTCTAGGTCGCACCCCGGCCGCCGTGCTTCTCCTTGTTCTTCTTTCCGGTGGCGAGCGAGGCAGCGACCGCGGTGCAGCACTCGCCCAAGCTGAGACTCATTTTCTGTTGTCTTGCCATTCCGGTACGGGCTTTTGTTTCATGTGCTTGTGATCACGTTGTTTGGAACCCGGGTTTTTTGTTGTTGCTGTTTTATAGGATCAATCTGAGACGGAAATTCTGGGCCCCAGGCCCAGACTCCAGGAGTTACATATGTCAGGTCCCGGTCACTCTCCCCAAAACGCCGAGTAAAGACGGGAGTAACGGTGAAGACTCGAGAAAGGAAATTTAGTCAACACTGTCCACGAAGAGGCAAAGTAAGCACTTCAGCCCATCATCGGGGTACAGACATGAGCTTTGGGTTAAAATAGAGAAAGTCCTGGTCACAGGTGTGACTTCGTTAATCATCAAGAGGTTCCGAAGAAGTAATGGCCGTCATCACTTGAGGGGAGCAATCTGGTCCCCATGCGATGATTAGTCCTGCACCAGGGTGCAGCCTCACTGGCATAGGTAATTGTCCTCATTTGGGGGTGGTCTGTCAGAGTTTTTCAACAAAAGCAGCTTATAAGTACCCTTTACAATTTTGTATGCACTTTTGTGTGTGTGTTTTCACTAAAAACATACTTTATGAAATCCCTCCAAATAATTATGCAGTTATTTTTTTATTGGCAGCATGATACCCATGGGGTGTGTGTACCAAGATGCTTTCCCATCATTGCCCCTAGTGGACAATCAGTTTATTGTGTCCTGGGGCTTAGAAATTGGAGGATGGCACCGCAGGAGTAGGTTTTCTGGATGCAGGTTGTAGGTATAACAGCATGAGTTCCATTTTCTCTCCTTTCTCACCCAGAGTGAAATATTTTTTGCTAACCTACAGAGTATTTGCCACATCACGTTGCTTTTGTACTCCAGCTCAATCCAGTGAAAAGGAGGATGTCTCCACAGAAAGGAAAAATGAGGGGAATGGTCCTCCTCAAGCTATCCTCTCTCCAGGTACCTGTTTTAGGGAGCTCAGTGCCACCACCACGAGGTGTGTTATTTAACCCTAGCACTCTGGAAGCTTCATGGCACCCTCCAAGTTTGAAAGTGAAAGGATGCAGGCAGTGGGTTGCAACACTGACTGAGAGGAAGAAATCTTGAGGGGTCCTAGGAAGGCCACCAGGTCTGTGTCCCAGGGTGGCCACACCTGGCACCTCTCTGTTGGTGTTTTTGTGTCCTCCCATTACATCCATTCCTCATTAAAGTCAAGTGTTTTTCTGTTTGACAATACAGATCCTCCCACCCTATCTAGAAGGAGCTGTGTGTTTAATCTCTCAATGAACTTTAGCGACTTCAAGTAACAAAAATCATTTTTACTATTCCCACTCAAAATTCAAGGATGACCTAAGCTCAGCTGGATGGTTTGCACTTAGGATGTTTGCTTCAGTTGCTGCCAGAGAGTGGCGGGGCTTGCGTCATCTCATAGGCATGGCCAGGACTCGGGCTGTCAGGCAGCAATACTGGCATGTGGTTCCTCCATGTGGCCTGGGCTTCCTTGGTTGAGCCTGCCAAAACGAGGCCTATATGCATGGTGTATTTATGATCCAGCCTCAGAAGTCGCATAGTATCACTCCTACCAGACCCTATGGGTCAGAGTGCTCACAAAGGTCTGCTTAGGCTTAAGGGGAGAGGACATGTACCCCACCCTTCACTGGGGGCATGTTAATGT